CCTGCTGCCGCTGAGCAGCTGATGGGGGTGAGGAGTGAAAGCCGCAGCTTTAAAGCAGATGCCAACTTTGAAACGCATATGTACGGTTACCCAGAAAGGCAAGGGATAGACTTGTACCTACAATATGTGCTTAATTGTTCAGAGAAAACAAAAGACCAGAAACAAATTGCCACTTGTAAACAGTGGTTATCTTTGAACGGTGGGATTTTTTTCTGTTTCTCTGTACATTTTTGTGCTTTCCGAACTGTCCTCAATAGACATACTTGATTTTTATCATTACAGCAACGTTTAAGCATTTTCGTCACACTGATTTGAAGGCTAACTTAACCTTTCCAGTAATTACTTAGAAAATCACCCCAGTATTTTAACACATAAAACTACATTGCTTAATGTTACTCTCACATTTAAGCCTGTAAGAAGCACTGGGCTGTTGAGAAAGTCAAGATACATTTTTTTCATAGAAAAACATAAAAACTCTGTCATGACTTTCCTGACAGCCTAATACATCTGTCAGAGTCAGAATACCACTGTGTAATTGGGCCGGCAGGTGGTGTGGTGGTTTAGGGTGCTGGACTCCCACATGGGCGACTGCGGTTTGAGTCTCGGACCCGGTGACTTGCTTTCTCACTCTCCTCTCTCTTACTCTGTCCTTTTCTGGTCAAATTTAAGTACATAAATAAATAAGTAAATAAAGTCAAATAAAATCATTCTTTAAAAAATTATTAAAAAAAAGAATACCATTGTGTAATTTAAGTAGATATGCAGACAAGCAAGAAAAGGTCTTTTTTTCCCTGCTCCATTCTCGTTGAACAAATCACTATCACCAGATTTGAGCAAACAGCTCCCTGTCCAAATTCTAAGGAGGTAATACTCGAGACAATTACTGTGCAGTTCATTAATGAGTTATTCCCGACATTCTTTATACACGCACATCCTCACATTCTGACGAACCACATTCTCTGTGAAGCCTCCCTTCTGTCCATCTCTCACTTACCAACGGTTCTTGTCTTTACTCGGGAACGGAAACAGACCACCAGGGACCAACACTGAGAGAAATTAAATCTATTTTCTCTAGGCTCCTGAGCACGATTTCTAAGAAAGGTAGAAATGTGTTCAGAGCAAGGGCCGTCGCACTAGATGGGGCTTCCCAAAACAACTCCAAGTCCCTCAGAGCAAAGAACGGATCTTCTATTTTATTTTTGTTTCCTAAGGAAGCAGAATTAATTTTTATTTCAGCAGCGACCCCTCTCTCTTTCCTGGGAATACATTTTGGCTGTGATTCTTTTATTATTAATATATTATGATTATTTTATACGTTCAACCACTACACCTCATTTAGCTTGTAGAGAAAGAATGGGTCTTCTTATTCTTTGTAATCCCAGCTTGAGCACAACTCCCCCCGACACCAGCTCACTACCTGTTTGTTAGGAAAGACAGAATGAATTCATGGAATGACTACAGGGTGTACTCAGGCATGAAAGTTGTAGCTTCATTTTTATTTGTTTTCCATTAGGTCTGTTGACCTTCAAGTCACACCAATTTCCCAACGACAGCAAAGCCTCCTCTATAGTTCGGCAGACAGTCACACTTCTTTGTGACTCAGTGGGCCCTCCCAATCCCAGCACACAGTCTCCCCTGGGGGGTCTTCTCCCACCTTCTTCACACTTTACAGCTGAACCTGCATACTGTCATGGACTTACCCCGACAACCTCAGGAGTGGAAGTAGCAGCTAGTTCCACAGTCACACGGGAGAAGGAAGGATGACCCAAACCCCTTAGAGGGGACGGGAGGCTCTCACTCTAAGGCCTGGGCATCGTCCACTGCCCTGAAACAGCCTGCCTGGAAACCGGGCAGGGAGGACTCTCTGTACAAAGGACCCTGGGGTTCAGGCAGGTAAGCAGAGTAGCTAGGCAGAGTGCCTCCTTTGACTTCTCACTGCCCTTTTGTCCTATGGTTAAAGTGAAAGTCGCTCCCTCCCTAGGAAAGCACAGGACAGAAAGGTGTGGGAGTACCCAGCATAAGTGTAAAAAGTGAACCTCTGGTAACTGCCAAGGAAGACTGGTCCCCTGATGACAGCGGCAATACTCTTCCACACCTACCACTGGGATCCATGGCTCTATTGAAATCCTTAGGGCTTCATTCTCTGACTTCCAGGGTGTTGTCAAAACAACCATCGTAACTTTGACTTTACTCTGGGGTACCAACCACAACTCGTTTGATGCAACACTCTCCCTTTTACGCAAAAAGAGGCACTAGACGTAGGCTGTGTGTTGCTGGGTGTCCTTGGGCAAATAAGATCTCTTCTGGGCTTCGGGTTTTCAGTTGAAAAAGAAAAGGATCCAGCCAGATAATTTCTGAAGTTCCTCACAGGGTTAGCATCCTGATGAGAAAACGATACCCCAGTGCCAAGTGAAATTACTGTGACGGCGAAACACCCTGGAAATGGAAAGGGATAAGCCTCGCTGGGAGATAACAAGGCCAGGGCCAAACAACAGGCTAACTTGGGGGAAACCCAGCCTCGCAGGGATTTTGGTTTTCCAGCTTATCTGCCAAGTACAAAAATAAGCAGCTATTTCAATGGGACTCTAAAAACAATAATAAATTAAGTAAAAACAGTGAAAACAAGGCTTTGTTCTCCCACAAGTGGCTTAGAAGTAGCCGCTAAGAGACACCTCCCAGTGGAGCGGATGTCAACGGCTCATGCTTTTGCCCACACAAAGGCCTCCTGGCACAGGGATGTGAGGCAAAACGGGGAAGTCTCAGCAGCTGGCCTTATTCCAACTTGGGAGAAAGGGGGCAGCCAGGAAGAAAAATAACTAAGCTTCTGAAAGGCTAGAAGGAGGGTACGAAATGACTGAATCTATCTTTTCTAACAGAGCAAAGAACTCTTGAGAGGGATAATGGAAGGGTGCAACTTTCAATTTGAATTACTTTCTTTGTTTAACTCTATTCTGCCTAAGGTCACTGCCTTTTGAGCCAACCGCAGAATCGAAGAATCCCTGCTTGCTTTTAGAAGAAGGCCCAAGATCCCGAGAGGAGAATGGAGGAGAAGGGATTGTGGCGTGACCATCCCCCCTGGGGGTGATTTCTCGCTTTCTGTCTCTATGTCTCTCTCTGTCTGGCGAGCTCCTCTATGCCCCTCTCTGTCTGGCGAGCTCACGGGTCCTATAGCAAAAACTTCTCCAAAAAAAAAAAACGATCTACAAACAGTCAGTGTGGATGAGAACTAACTGCTGATTTTCAAATAAAGTTATAAACCCCAAAAAACATTATAAAAAAAAAAAAAGAAGAAGGCAGAGCAGTGCAGCGTGGGACATGGGGGACCACAGTTCCTCTCTTGGTTCCTGATTTCACCCTCTTGAAACTTGGACAAGAGGCTAACTAAACCCGTAGGCCAGAGCTTCCTGCCGGTAAAACAGGCATGTTCACTAGATGCTCTCCAGACCCTTTCAGTAAGGGTGGCTTGGGGATGGAGGCTCCCCTCTGGTCCCCAGGGGCAGCCAAGGTGAATCAGGTACACAGGCAAGGCCGCTGCACCTCCATTCCTGCCCTGCACTACGCACTTCCGCAACCTTAACTAAGCCTTACTCCTGCACCCACACTGCCGCCTAAGAGGCCAACTCTTCTCCCAAACCATCTCACTGTGCCAGACTCAGTCTGATTAAGTAAAATCTGCAAAACGGAGCTAAGCGTATTTAAGTCAAGAAAAGGCAAAACAAACGGTCTTTCCGGATGTTGGAATTTCTTCCCCAAAAAAATAATACCAACTGAAAATATACGTCCCCACCCAAAGGCCGGGGCCGAGCTCTCTCGTGAAAACACTTAACAAGCCAGAAGGAGCCAGTGATATCCAGGGTAGGCGCACCGACTACGAAGAAAAGCGCAAGTGACCCGAGACGGCGCTGCGCGATCTTGAGCTGGACTGTTCTCCCCGCAGGCTGGGGAGGCGCTCGCGCTCTCCTCAGTGTGGGGACAATGGTGCTTCTGGCATGGCTCTTTTTGGGGAAGGAGACCCATAGACCCGTAGTTCAACCTGCATCTCTAAGAAGCCTGGGCGACGTGGAGGCGAAGGATGCCACTTCACCCCAAAGAAAGTCCCACGGCCGGGGTCGGACTCGACCCAGGGGAACGTTTGCGTAGCTGTTTCTCATTTCGTTTTGCCCTGTTAGTCCGGCAGTTTAGTCCGATGCCAAACGATACCCTTTACACACCTCTCGCCCTGCTCCAGCCAGCGACGCCTCCCGTGCCGCCTCCCCCCTGCGGCCGAGACAGCGGCCTGACGCTCGGCCCCGAGGGGCTGCGAAGCGCCGGGCCCTTGGGCGGGGCGCACGTGGGTTTGTTGTGCTGCCCTCGCCACCTCCCCCGCCGCCGGCCAGCGTCCCGATCCGTAAACCCGACTGGCGGATCCAAAGCCTGCGGGACTGCAAGGCGCTCCCTCCCACCGCCCGTGCCACGGGGAGAGCGGGCTGCCGGGGGGCACGCGCACACGGGCGTCGGGGGTCTCGGGAGCCTGGCGAAAGCCTGCGCGGCCCATCCGCCTGGACACACAGACAACCCCAGGCAGCAGGCGGCCGAGGCGGCGCTGGGACGGACTCCCGGCGCCCTAGACGCGCCCCCCGCCCCGCAGCGCCCCTCCTCTCCAGTCCAGGCGTCTCTCCTGGCCCGGCCCTGCCCAGGACTCCCCTCCCCCAGGTGTCTCCAGCCTCGGTGCTCGGCGGGGACAGCACAACCGGGGAACTGGAAGCTCCACGAGGGAGTCCCGGGAGGAGGGATGCACCGGGGATGCAGGGTGGAGGGGACCGGGGAAGGAGGGAAGAAGAATGTAGCGGAGGGGCGGGGAGGAAGCACCCGTCTCCGTTACGCAAATAGAGTCGCGAAGACTGGGTGAGTCCCGTGGCCACACTGCGCCCCAAACTGGCCTGGCCCGGCGGAGGTCGCTAGCGAGCGGGCTCCGGGTTAAGAGTGCAGGTTAGGGCGCCTGGTGAGGCTGGGACCCTGGATGGTCGAACCCATCCCTGTCCGGCGTTTTGTCCTAACAAGCTGGCACTGTGTTTCCTGCCTCACTGACTACGTCACCCTGATCAAGTCACTGAACCTCGCTGATGACTCGCATCTTCTTATGTACAATACAAAGGAACAGCATCTGTGTCACAGGGTTTGGCAAAAACCTTCTAACATCGGGCGGCGGCGCGCAGCAGGCATTCTCAGTCACACACCTAAGGGGAAGGGGTGTCCTGGACTTCAGGTATGCTGGTGAAGGAAGCCCGGTTCCCTCTTCCACTGGGTTAAAGTCAGGCTGCTGGGAAAGGCAAGAGGAAACCACAAACCTCACAGCATACTGACCATCCCTGGTGGCCCCGAGGCCAATTCCCTAACACAGAAAGACACCAGACTGGAGGGCTGGAAGCAGCTTTTAGGTCACCATTCCAGTGTCCCAAAAGCCAGAGAAAGAACGTGACTACCAGAGGCAATACTCATATTCCAAATGCCTACTGAGCCCTCACCCTCTAGGCATCCAGCTTTCTGCTGGGAGGGAGGTGGGGAGGGGAGGTTTCTTTCCAACGCCCTCCCTTGCATCCTTCTCCAAACGCTGCTTCCTCCTTCTCCTGATCCGGGCTCCCTCCATTAGCACTAACCCTCTCCCTGCTGCTCTGGAGCCCTCATAGCTCAGTACAAAGAGCTCCAGTTGGAGAGGATGCCAGCTAGAGTTCAAATCTCAGTTAGCAGCTAGCTGTGCATTCTTGGCCAAATTCCGTACCTCTCTGGGCTTCCCTTCCTTTCCTTTTCTGCAAAACAGAGATATTAAGGACAGTATTGTTTCCGGATTATGTGAAATGATCTGTGTGAAGGTGCTCGTAACAGTAAAGGGTATGAATGAACGAATGACAAACTAAGAAGCTACTTTTGAAAGAATGCTACATAAAATGTTCTAGAGTTTTTTCTTTTTTCTTTTTTTTCTTTTGGAGTGGTTTTTGCTATAGGGCATGTGCTCTCGCCAGACAGACAGAGAGAGACAGAGAGAAAGCGAGAAATCCCCCCCCCAGGGGGGATGGCCACGCCGCAATCCCTTCTCCTCCATTCTCCTCTCGGGATCTTGGGCACGCACGCACACGTGCCCGGAGTGAGTTTTAAGCCACCGGGTCTGGGACACGAACCGCGGTCGACTACGTGGGAGTCCAGCGACATAGCCATTACGCTAACTGCTGGTCCCTAGACTTTTTTCTGAAAACATTAACTGAAGCCTCTAGACGATTTTGCACAGTGGCATGACATGCCTCTTTGTGTTTTACACTGATTCCTCTGGCCCCATATGGAGAAGGAATGGCAGGAGCAGAGGCTGCAAACCAGGATGTGAGCTCGGACTGACCTCAGTAGAGAAATAATAAGAGCCTGAGCTCTGGCCGTGTCAGGGGAAATGGGGGGAAAGGGCATTTAAGTAACAGCTACCATTTGGGGAACCCAAACACTTGTTAGTCTGCTGACTTCTCGTCATAATACAGGTGGTGATCTTAGTTCCATTTATGAATGAGGACACTGAACTCCTTTAGGAAGTGGAGATGCCGGAATTTGAACCCTCTTCCAAGTTCATTGACAGCCTTAATCATTTCTTTCAACAGAACTTTGGTGTCAACACTACTTAGGAACTAAGAACAGAAAGAAGTGAGTCCTTAGTCTTCATTCCAGTTCTTTTTTTATGGAAGAACACCAACCACATCATGGAGAAAAGAAAAGGCTCACTCTGGATTCTTGGCTTACAGGACTGGGATTACCACAGGTGATATGACAAGGCCCAGGAGTTCCTGGAGCTCTGTGGCGGATGAGCAGGCAAGTCCAGGCTTCCTGGCAAATTCCAGTGTGGAAGTAAGTGTGGAGCCATCAAGGCTCTCTCATCATTGGGGCCTTGTGACCTCAAAGAGGCTGAGTCATTAGCTGGGGACAGTTCTGTCCTCCCCAGCCTATGTCTGAGGATTCCCCACCTGTTGTCCCTGGGGTCCCTGCCTTGGCGGGTTATAAGGCCGGAACCAGGAGTGCAGATAGCTACTCTCTGGGCATTATCTCTCTTCTACAGCCTCCACACCCAACCTCTTACTATGGACTAAATGTCTTTGCTCCCCTAAAATTCATACATTGAAATCCTACCCCTCGAGGTGATGATATTAGGAGGGGGGTTTTCGGGAGGGTGGGATATTTGGGACACAGCTGTAACTGGCTCCTCAGGAGGTGCTGGATCCCACACTGGGAACCAAGGTTTGAATTCCCAGCCCAAGTGACCTGAAATATGCTGGGCATGCATACAGGTGTTCAAAATCCAACAGGCTGGAGAGCTGGAGGAAGGCAAGCCCAGTGGGACTAGACTCTGAGGGGGGTGCCTCTCTCTCTCTCTCTCTCTCTCTCGCATGCATGTGTGCATGCATATAGTCTCTCATAAATTTTTAAATTTTTTTTAAGGAGAAAGATCTGAGAGAACTAGCCAGCCCCTAGCTCTAGTGAGGATGCAGCTAAAAGATACCATTTATGAATGAGAGAGTGAGTCCTCGCCTGACCTCAAGTCTGCCAGGACCTGGGTCTTGGACTTACCAGTCTCCAGAACTGTGAACAATACATTTCTGTTGTTTGTAAGCTACTCATTTTACGGTATTTCTGTTGGAGCAGCCCTATGCACTAAAACATTTGACCTTCCCTCATCCCCAACCTCAAACTCAGCCAATGCATATTTTAGGTAATGCCTTCCTCAGTCATCGTTTTTGACAGTTTACTGACTAATACAAATGATGCTCTGCTTTATAATATTCATTCACAACAACTCATCTGCAAACAATATGTTCAGAGCACTTCTGAATTAGAGGTGGGGTTAGTACAAAATCTTGTGGGGGAGAAAAGAGGCAGACGGTTGAAAATTTCCACCCAAATCTTTCTTTCCCACCCAACAAGTACAGATACTCATTGAAACCTTTAAATAGACTTCCCAGCCCTCTGCACACCTCCAGTACATATTGTCCAATGTGAGGACAGGCTCAGGGGCCCGAAGGAGCCGTGGTCTGCCTACACCGCCTGTCTTGGCCCTCAGTGCTGGCAGCTTTAAGGATGAAGCACACGACTCAGTCTGTAGAAGCCAGGTGAGCAAATAGAAATAGAATAACGGCGTCTCTATATTAAGCACTCGGGGACGGCTCCCACTGATTGCTGTGAAGGGGACCTGCACAGATGGGCCAGTGGAGCATGAAGTGGGGGCAGGGGAGAAGCGCACTCGAAGGCGGAAGCTGGAAACTAGAACCGGGTCTCTGGGGAGGACTGCAGTCACAAGACGGGAAATGGATGGCCCCACAGACCCCAGGACAGCAAGCAATGACTTGCTGGCTCCAGAACGCTGAAGGAAGCATGGGCATGGTATGGGCATGGTGTGAAGAGGATAGGTCAGAGAAAGAGCCACATCACCCAGGAGCGTTAGTAGTCGGATTGTGCTTCACTCAGCCAACATCAGTGTCCCGCTGAGACAGGAGGGGCCTTCCAAACACCCAAAGTGACAGACAAGAAGCAGCTGAGAGACTGGGTCTGAACCAGTGGCACCTGGAATGACCACTGCCTAACCTCCAGACTCATCACAGCCTCAGTGTCCGTCATTAGCATGCTCAGTGACACTCCTATCTGCACCTCGACAGTTTAGAATAACAAGGGTAATGTCAGGACCTACCCTAATAAGTCCTTTTATCTTTCCTGCCGGGTAACAACTCTCCCCTCCGCTCAGAGGGAGGAGTGAAACCATACATCCATCTCCCGCATGTGGGTGCTTCACCTCTGGAGCAGTCCATGCTGTCCACTTTCTTTAATAAACTTTCACTCTCCTTAGAGACTAGCATTTGAATTCTTTCCTGAGTGAAGCTAAGGACACTCACATGCCTGTCGGAGACCCCCACAGGTTGAGTCTCCCTGGCAACACAACCCCATGCTAGGGCCCTGGGGAGACAGGAGGAGAAATTGAGCCTCCATTCTCAAATCACTTATATTTTACCTAAATATGGCTTAGTTTATAAGAGTAACTGCCATGTAGTGAACATCGCCTGTGTCAGGCAGTTTGTGTGAATGTTCTCATTTAATCCGCACTTGAAGGAGAGGGTATTATTCTTAGAACCCTAGCCATCCTTTTATTGTTGTTGTTGTTTCGTTAGAGAGATCTTTGTTATAGGGTCCGTGCGCTCCCCAGAGAAACAGAGAGATAAAAAGCAAGAAAAACACCCTTCGGGGGGATGGCCACACTGTAATCCCTTCTCCTCTATTCTCCTCTTGGGATTTTGGGCATGTTTGCACACATGCCTAGCATGAGGTATAAGCCACCAGGTCCAGGACTTGAACTACAATCAACTACTTGAGAGTCCAGCCTTGTAACCATTACACCATCTGCTCATCCCAAACCCAGCCATTTTAAGCTAGTCTCCCTGTTCTTGCCTAAAGCCAATCTTGGCATGAGATTAATGCATGGGAGATGGGGCGGGGGGGTTCGAGTCCCAGACCCGGTGGCTTAGAACTCACGCCGGGCGTGTGTGCATGCGTGCCCAAGATCCCGAGAGGAGAATGGAGGAGAAGGGATTGCGGCGTGACCATCCCCCCTGGGGGGTGATTTCTCGCTTTCTGTCTCTATGTCTCTCTCTGTCTGTCTGGCGAGCGCACGCGCCCTATAGCAAAAACTTCTCCAAAAAAAAAAAGTCTTCACTGAAGTTTTCTTAAGAGGACAAAATGGTGTTGCATTAAACCTCCTAAGTAAAAACTTCCAGATACCTGCTTAGGACGTGTCTTCCTCCCAAGTTCTACTCCTTAAAACCACCTCAGGCAGTCAGCTTTCCAGGTTTCTGCCCTTCTGTCTTCAACATCCCTAATCCTCCCCCTCTCCAGAGTCTTTCCTTCTGCATGTTAATTTTATTTTATTCACTTATTCTTAAAGTTTATTTATTTGTTTTTTCCATGACAGTTCAAGACAGGGAGCAAGAGAGACAGGCACCCCCCAACAGTCTTACCTAGTGACCCTCCCCATTTCTGGATGATAGGTACACTCCCAGCATGCTCTGGGGGACCTCAGATGAAGGCTCGGGAGCTTGACCATGTGGGAGTGGGTCCAGTTGCATCACCATGCACCGCCGCAGTCCCTCCCTTAATTTCACTCTTGTTGGGAAAAGAATCACTTTATTCAGTATCTAAAAGAGCTGTGGGAAAGAAGGAAGCACAACAACACACAGACAATTCGAGCAAACATGGATCTTTACCTTTGCAAAGGGCATACACATATATTACTCTCCATAAGTCCTCACTGAACACATAAGAACATGTGAGATAGGTGTGGCTCTTTGTCGTCCCCATTTACAGATGAGAAAACTGAGGTGCAGGTGTTAAGTGAGTTCCACAAGTTCCCTGCTGAATGTTGAGCCGGGCCTTGAAACCAAGGCCGTTTTTCTTCTTACTGCATCTGGCTCCCGGGCTGCCAAACGTTGGACAGGGCTGTCAAACTGTCAGTGACACCTCTCAGGCTGCAGCTGCCAAAACCGCCACCCAGCTGCCCTGGGGCAGGACTCAGAAACTATACCCAGGAGACCAGATGCACCAGCACTGGCAGGAAGTACAAGAGCTTGGGGACTGTGAGGAAGCAGAGATGCCTGTAACGAATTCTCTCAAAAGATCCAGGCATTGGCTTCTCTCAGGGGACCTCTATTGGAACCAAAGTGAAAGCCGCCTCCTGTGAAGTTGCCATCTGCGGATGCCTGTCCGAATAACCTGCAGTGATGATCAAGGCCTTGTGCAAGAGGGTATATAAGGCAATGAAGTTTATTTGCAATTAACAGAAGGAACTCGGAGAGAGCTCCGGGTTTTTGTTTTTTGTTTTTTGTTTTTATTGGGGGGTGTGTGGGAAGAATCGGTATTTAACAGCTGTCGATGATTTATCCTAAACATGCCTCTCTGTAAGGATTCATGTTTGAAAGTCTATTTATTTATTTATTTATTTATTTATTTTAGAGATATTTTTGCTATAGGGCACATGCACTTGCGAGAGAGACAGAAAGTGAGAAATCCCCCCCACAGGGGGGATGGCCATACTGCAATCCCTTCCCTTCCACTCTCCTCTTGGAATTTGGGGCACACACACATACGCACCCATTGTGAGTTTTAAGCTGCAAGGTCCAAGACTCAAATCACAGTCAACTACATGGGAGTCCAGTGACATAACTGTTACGCCATCTGCTGGTCCCTAAAAGTCAATTTTCAATAGTGTTCCCCTCCACCCCCGATTTTATAGGTAACATTTGCTTTAGAAATTGAGAAATGTTAGACAAATGTGAAGAAGCAAGGAGGGTGAGATCTTAAACTCGTAAGCCACAAGCAGAAGTAACCTTTTGGCTTATTTTCTTCCAGCTATTTCCTGTGCTTTTTCCCTCAACTTTCCCTTGTTAAGATTACAATGTGTATACAAGCGAGATCCTGTTTTTCTTCCCCGTTGAGAGTTTATCATGAGTGTTTCCTCTGTGTATTTACAGTAAATTCGTTTACTCACTTGAACCTCAAATAAATGCCAAGCGAACATTCTTTGGCACATTGTTAGCAGTTATGACAGCTCTCCTTGTCTAGAGGAGAGTTTAGTGACTGGAAGTGTGGACTCTGGAGTCAGGCTGCCCGAGTTTGAATCTTGACTCTGCTGCTTCCCAGCTGCGTAATGCTGGACAAATTATGTACCTCTCTGACTTTACCTGCAAAATGAGGATAATAATATCTACTTCATAAAGTGCTTCTAAAAACTAAATTAGATTATGCGGCCCCCCCTCCGGGGGCCCCGCGGCCGGGGGCTTCCGCCCCACGCAGCCACACGCAGAACGGCCGGCCCCCCTAGGGAGAATGGCCACACCACAATTCCTTCTCCTTCATTTTCCTCTCAGAATTTTGGGCATGCATGCACACACACACACCTGATTTTTTTCCCCTTCCTTTTTCTTTTTTCTTTATACATTTAATCAATGTATATCATTACAGCTTGCAAAATGAATTTTTCCAGCATGAATATACTGTATATTACTCCAGTTCAAGATATTCTCATATACATTATCATCAGCAGATAATTTTCCATTTTTG